GCTACATGCTCTAAATTCACTGAAACGTCCGAAATAGCTTATAAATCGATTTATAAACGTTTACTCATAAATGTATGATTTATGAATGGATTTATAAACCGTTTTCCGCTAGAAAACTGACCGGAAAAAGTTGAGAGCTTTGCATATTTATAAACTACAGTGTTTAGAACACTTCAGTGTTTTCGCTTGTCCAGAATATCTCTTCCTTTGAGTCGTGGTGGTTTTGACATGTTGAGTTCTCCAAACACTTTTAAACCGCCATGCTTCTTTAATTCAACAGCCTTCATTTAACAGCGCACCCTCACACATCCTCCCATTATTTGCGGCCATGGCCCTAAATCGCATAGTGTCCACCCTTTCGACGACGGAAATACGTCTCGTCTCCAGAATAAATCAACTGGCACGAATGTTAGTGGAAAAACTGAAACGTTGTGAGAAACTTGCCCATAGCCGAGCCGGGACAAATCGTACAGCTTGTGGAGAAGGGAGTTGGAAGAGCCATCTCTCATTTTATCATTTATTTTTTATTAAAAACTTTCAGCTCGGCCGAATGGAACTTAAGGTTGGACCTGACAAACGAAGAAAAACGCGGATTTCAAATATGTTACATGACACGAAAAGACAAATTTTGTCTTCATTGGGTTTAATTGAAGCTATAGAACCAGTGTTTGAAGCATACTTTGATATTTATTTAAGAAAGATTTCTATCCTGCAGCTTTCAAAAATTGTTGAAAAGTACCTAGAAGAAAGAGCCAGAAGAGCTGGAAGTGATTTCAGCTTGTACGTGGCACTCATACTTGTGTGTCATATCAACTGAAAAATTCGATTAATCAAGAATGCTCTAATATAACTAGAGCAATGGAAAAAGTCGATTTTTTTGGACAAGCCAGATCACGGACTAAACCGGAGGCAGACGTTCGGCCTGATTCTGCTACGTTAACGTCGACGATATCCAACAAAGAACGCTTTTCAAATATTAATTAAAAAACATTCGACAAAATCATAAGGCCAAGGCGAAAAAATGAATCGCTGTTGTTTTTCCAATATTCAATAAAGAAAGTTCGTCACCAGTTATCTTAAAATGATGTGGACAAAACTCGTGTTCTTATAGGAAAACCATGGCTCTCAGATTAATAATATTCCGATGGGTCGTTAAGCTATCTGGCAGTTCCATTTTGATAAGGAGTTTTTCCAAGAGTGTTTCTCGCAGTGAATAACCGACATAGAATACAAAGTGACTGATAAACACATATCAGTTTGTGGCTAAGTTTTCAAAATTTTGCACTAAAAGGCAAAACATCAACATAACCTTTGTTTAATCTACATATCTATATCTTTCAGCAACACTTATGCCTCTTTTTATGACATTTACTTAAAATATACTTTTATCAGTGAATACCCCGAAAATAAATTATTCAATGATGAAAGTGGTAACGGTAATGAACGTGGGCTGTACAGGCCAGCAACATTAACCGAACAGCAGCCTAGACCTAACGACACTGCTAACAAATTCGGTTCGGAGTGGATGAGCTTCGATGTGATGGATGAATGCAGCAGTGTGAGCACCCCATCATGTGAGTTTACACCTTGCACATGATACTTTCTGTATGATGGAAAATGAGATAATAAACGGTTTTGATTGATCCAACCGGTTTCTACACATACGGATACCGACGGACGTTCTGAATCAATCAGATATTGCACTTCGTTATAACATGACGACAAATCTTGAACATTATATAAAACACCTAAAGCCGGTTTTGAAGCTTGACTGGGGGGGGGGTGGTATGTGTTTTTCCATTGCTCTGTGTGAAATAGTGGTTTTCCGATTCCACTCGTCGATGACGGACGACAAAAGTAAACGATCACATTCTGCAAAACCTACGCAATGAGAACGAAATGATTCAAAATCCAAAAACGAGTTAAAAAATACAAATGGCTCACTGTTTGGGTTCAGCTCCATTGTGAGTTATTATTAATATCATCATTCGATGCATTCGGTTGACCAGTACGCCGCAGACTATACAGTACTAGTGGAATACTAACACGGACAACTGGTGAATGAGAAATATGACTTGAGACAATGTTGAATATTGAATCAAAACAAGTTAGTGTTTTATGGACTGCTTCATTCAAGTTGACTGGTACTTGATTCAAAAACATCAGGTCATTGTCTGTTAGCGGTCGCAGATTAGTAACTGCTTTAAACATGGTGGAAGATATCATGTTAATTGTTAGTACAATAATGGTGCTCAAAACCTGAGCCACTTGATCTACTTTGATTTGAGTAGATTCAACAGATATCTTTAGCCTTTCTAGATATAATATCTGAGGAACTGAGCATACTAATCCATTGTGACCTGGTTTTTTATCAAGGATTTATGAGGATTGACGAACTACTATCCAGTTCCATGAACAGTGAACTACTAACTATAGTTTATTTAGTTGAAAGACTTTGACGGTCCTTAGTTTAAACAATTTATTAAAAATCATTAATTTATTCTAGGACAGTTGATTACAATGCGAGTTGTTTATAGCCCATAATGAGTGATCAATTATTATCTCCATTGGTGACATCTGGCTTATCGAAATATTTATCATTTGTTCATCATGGTTACATTGAGAATGCTGTGTGCAGATATCAGTAATCAAACAGAAACAGTTCTGGTAATGGGTGCCTCAAATCATCCTTGGTCAATGGACGATGCATTTTTAAGACGATTTGAAAAACGAATTTACATACCATTACCAGATAAAGATACCAGAAAACAATGTTAGGGATTACTTTAAAAGATGTACCACTCGATGAAAATGTTAAATTAGATGTTATATCTGAACACTTAAGCGGGTATTCTGGATCAGATATTTGTAATGTTTGTTGGTACGCAAGTTTTTATTATTAATTTTCGTTCTCGTTGTGGTTCTTCCTTTATTATTAGCGATGCGGCGTTTATGATAAGTCGAGAGCTTACAGATAATTTAACTGTCACAGAAATTCAACAAAGCGCTAATTCAATTCGTTCTCAACTACAACAGCCACTGAAACACCAACATTTCATATATGCACTGGAGAAGGTTAAGCCAAGCATTGTGAAAAATGTTGATCGTTACGCAATCTGAATCTCTGTGATATGTCGGTTGTTATAGTAATATTTGAGCTCTATCTTAGAATATATCATATAACATATTAAAACTACTTTAAGTCTTTCTTCTATTTTCTGTATAGTTTTCTTTAGACATTTGGACATAAAATCAAGCAGTGAGTTCGAGAATCTTCTTTATCGTTACAGTCAACAGCATGAGAGAAAACGTTTCGTTAGGGTGCACTGCTCGATTTAAAATTTGACGAGTGAATAGACTCAGTAAAATATATAGATTAAAAGAAAATCGATTTACGAGTATTCATTGATAACGGAGAGATATCGTATTATAGTTTATTGAACATCTTTCTACGCTTTTCGTGGTGATAGTACTTCTTTTTTCGAATCTGAAAGACGTGGTACCGTGATAATAGTACTGGCATTGTTAATGTTGAATTTTAGGAATTCCTCAGCAGTATAAAGTGTAACATCATATGGATTTGTTTCTGTATAAACCCATTGATTGGTGCCTTCTACTTTTTTAATGATTTGTATCCGATCGACTTCATTCGTAATTAAAAGCTGCCCAATTGGCTCATAATAGACAGTAATACTGTCGTCCACTGTTGTTAAAACATTTTTGAAACATGTTGCTGCTTGTGACATACAGAACATGTATGTCGGAGGTAAAGATTCAATGTCAAAACTGTTGGATTTAATACATAAATCTTTGCTAGTTCTTTGACATTTCGAACATTCATTGTTCGTTCGAACTTTTAATAATTACAAATCACGAGCGTAAACTTCTTTCAATAAAAAATATTTTCACAGTCATGAACGCAATTCGTTTCATCACAATATGAACAGTCAAAAACCACAGAGGCCTAAAGAAAAGAGCATGTAATAAATACTAGTGTTAATGAAAATTGTGAAATGTGTATGTGAACTCACCTTCAACGTTAAATCATTAGCTATCTTCGGATATAATCGTCTGATTGTTACAACAAATTCATTAAAACTGTAATCATGATGCCGATTCGAATCTGACAAACTCCGTTCGTTGAGAATAGTCAGAATCGCATTCGTAAAATCGACCCCCTCTACATTCACTTTTTGATATATAATGAATAACGACGATTGCAAATACTGTTTAATATTTCTCTTGTCCAACACAAACGTGTTGTTTCTTTCTATACAATGATACTTCTTATCCTTACAATAAAACATGGCGCCGTATTCATCGAAGGCTTTCATATATACACATGATACTAGACGATATAACGAATAATATTGTACAGTTATGATATCCTCATCCAAAAAATTCTTGAAATTAATCATTTTCACATATGAAATTTTTTCTTGTTGTGAATCTTGTTGTTTGTAGACAAAAAGTACTTGTAGGCAATATGTGACACATACGGATACATCTTGTTCAGGAATAAAGTGATTGTTACTTTCGTTGTTAAAAATCAGAGAACTGTTTAGCATTTCTGCTGCCAGTAGGGGTAGATGAACAGCCGCTTGTAACTTTTGGTAAGTCATTTCGATCGCACCTGATGCATGGATCATTATTGTTACAGGACAATAGCATGTGTTCCATTACTTTTTCTGTGTTGCAGTGTTTTATCTAGGTTTCGTTTTTCGGGTGGGCGGTTGAAATTTTTGGAGGGGCCGCTGTTTATAATATTTTTGTCATATAGCAAAGGCACACACAGCCTCATATTTATTTTTTTTCACAACACAACTACACTTCTTCTTCTTCTGTACCAATACAATGTGGAAAAACATATCGAAAGAGAAACAAAACACCTTGAGAAAAAACAATAAATCTAAATTAAACCGAAATTTTTCTTAATTTTTTACTTTTCCAACGATCAATAATTAAATCTTTGAGATTAGTATCTAAGTCAGATGATCCTTCTATGATATTCTCATTAATTGTTCTAAATGTTCTGTTGTTAAACGATTTCGTAGATCAGTTAATATTATATTCATTGTACTAAAATCACGTTCGGCTGTTGCTGTACTAACCGGTGCACATAAAAATATTTCAGCAGCTAATGATAATTGTGGATACATGTCTCTTGTCATTCCATTTTTAACTAAATTATTACATTGTTGTCGTTGTGTTAAAATTGTAGATAATTGTTGTTGTTTTTGTGCATATAAATATTTGCGAAATACTTTCTATTCGGTGAGTAAATCATCATTAAAATCATTCGGGTACTGTTGTTTGATCATATTAATCTCTTTTATACCATATTGTTGTTCATTAGTTACTTCAGATACATCAAATATACGAAAACAATTGAGGAATTTTAATACATTTGATTCAAATTGAGCTGTTATATTTGATATAATTTTATCAATAAATTCGACTATTTTATCATCAAATAGTTCTTCTAAACTAATTTCATTTCTTCTTGTTGTTGAACGTGTTATACGGTTACGATTATGATTATTAGGTGATGATGTCTTTATTTTATCAACAATCTCAAATATTTGTTTATGTTCAATAATATTGATGTCTTTCAATTCTTCTAATCGTAACAATGTTCCAAGCATTGATTGTTCAAGTTGATTAAAATCAGCATTTTTCGTTTGTATGGACTTCAAAAATATTGAAAGTGCTTCAAGAATTGGTTCTAAACTCTTCACATGCTGATAATAAACATAATTATAATATATGACCACGACAATGAATAAATAATATAGAATCTGAATATGTCCGACGAAACCATTAAATTCTCCACTAAAAACGGATCCACCGTCAAAACCAGTAAAACGAATTCTTGTCTTTTATTCTCATTATTTAATCCTCAATTTTATTTTTAGATTTTAATTCATTGACGATTGTGTCAAATATTGTTTGTGCATCTTTATCTTTTATTTTTAATAAAATAAAAAATAATTCTGTTGGCTCACCTAGAAATTGTACATATTACACGTAAGCAGATTTTCCTAGAAAAGCATCTTTCGAATGCAAAACAGCATCTTACATCTCGTACCGATCTCAGACAAGATTTTTTACTATAATCGATAGCATGAAAGATCGAAGGTAGATTTTTTCTTTTTTTTCTCATTGATTCTCTACAACACTTCAGATAGCCATTAAAGACTGCTAACAGGTTATCACACCTACGAGTCAATGCAGAACAAGAATACACTCACCTGTATCTTGATTACAGTAACGTATACAAATTGATAAGCTTTGATGATGGTTTATATCTGTGCCTTCATCAGCCATAATTGAAATAATTCTTGATTCACGAATTTTTCTTAAAACTTGGTGATCTATTACTTCACTTGTTGATTATAATAATTCTGTTACTGTTGTTGTGCTATCATAGGTGGCATTCTTTTGACATTTATCGAAAAATATTGATAATTTTTTACTATGGTCAATTTTTGATAATAATTCCAGTATTGGTGCATATAATATTGTATGAGGAAGTTCATATTTAAGTAAAAAATATGCAGCATCTAATAAGTCACCAAATCTTTGACGATTTTCTTGACGTTCTAATTCACTAACGTTAATTAATTGGTGTGCTACTGATCCTTCTTGGTGCCGAAATGATAAATTCTATGCAGCTGTTTTATGATAAGTAGATTCTTGGTGTTTTTCTAAACTTCCATTTTGATCAGGTGCATGTGTCCAATTAACAAACGGTTGTATAGTGCAAACACCTCTAGTTCTTGTATTCATCTCAGAATAAACTGGTATCGTTGGTTTCCAGTGATCACGATATGTGTTACAAAATCCAGCTTGATTTGGTTAATATATATAAGCCACTTATAGTTTTCTGAATACCATTTTTGATACGTACGTTTTTTATTGTCATTTGTTGTTGTTATTATTGTTGTGGATAATGAACAATTTTCATTAATATTCAATTGAATACCACATGATGATTCCATATTTTAAAGTGCTTGTATATTAGTTGTATTATCATTTATTTTACTTTTTTTTGTTGAATTATTGTCAGATTCTTCTACATTTTCTTTTCTTTTAAAATATAAAATGAGAGATTTTTGTCCTGATGACATTTATTTAGCGATACATCGTAACGAATTTGCATATGATGAATATGTTTAATGTGAAGTATGCGAAGCGATAGAAAAATTAGTCCGACAGAGCAATGAATTGTCTCATTTTTGTTCTTTTCAGTCTATTATTATGTCTCATTACGAAGAATCGACTATTCAATGAATAGTCAAACTGAGTTATATCAATTGTATTCATATAACTTAGTTCCGTTTGTTCCCAGCCGGAAAGACCGAAAAACTCATATGACTGATGCGCAGAGAATTGAAATTATCAAATATTATCAAATTAGAAACAAATATTATTACGATTAATGGGCAATAATTTCAAAATAAAAAGCACGATAACAGCAGCGTTTTTTAACTTCATTAAAGTATTTTATTTAATTATAAATTATTTTCGACGTTTTGAACTATACAAAGGTCATTTTCAAGAATAAAAACACGATGTACGTAACTTATGAAAGCGAAAATTCGTTCGTTTCGAAAAAAAGGAAAAATCGTCGAAAATAATTTATAATTAAATAAAATACTTTAATGAAGTTAAAAAACGCTGCTGTTATCGTGCTTTTTATTTTTCAATTTAGAAACACATAGAAACCTAAAGGTTTTCTACAAACCCTCTGTAGACCTCCTAGAAACCTAGAATCAGTTCCATCATATACGCAATCCTGAAATACGCCCAATCGTATTTAGTGAATGTCCCAAACAGCGTATCCCTGATGCAGCATGTTACCGCCATCTGTCGAGCATGTTCCAAAGAGCGCCTTTCTGATACCATATGTTAGCGCCATCTTCTGAGTGTGACCAAAAGCTCAATTTTCTGACGACGTATGCTAGCACCATCTTCCGAGCTCCACTCCCGTTCGCCAAATACATTCTCCAATCATTATTTAGGTAGGGTATTGTGCGGATCGTTATTTACGACTAAAAGTACTTTACGGATGCCGGGCATTTTTGTCAGGTAACTTCTTTCAACAGATTTACTATCGATTAAAAGCGAGATAAGACGAGATGCCTGTTGAGAAGAAGGTTGCAAAGAAGTGAAGTATTCTACTGTAGTATGTGAGCGCTTTAATTAGAAAAGAAAGTAGCTACCCTGGTAAATGTACTTGGTTAAGTAATTTCCAGAGTACCTGGAGCTTTTTGCTAGAAAACGAGGTACGTATCAAGTAATTTAACAAGTATAAGTACTAGGTTCGCTAGGGTATGGTAGGATAATTTTTAAACGAATTTAGTGTCTTTTCGATCGAGAAGACGGGTACGCTCAGAACCGTAGAAAGATAGCCTTTGTTATTCTAAGTATGTAGCCTCAACAATTTATCTAACTATACACAGTTCGCAGAGTAATACACATGAAGATTTATTTTTCTTATCCAAACTAATGTGAGTTTCCTCGGTGTAATATATCCGTGACCGTTAGTGATTTGCAGGATATAGTAAGATTCAGTTCGGTCCTGTTTGATGCACGAAGGACTGAAGTTGTCTCGCCTTATTCACAGGAAAATACTTTGAATTTGTAGCGCAATAAACAATAGCAGTAGGGCCAGAATTTATGTTATTCATTCGCTATAACCGGAATGGCATAGTCTTATTCCGGAATGGGTACATTTGTTTTGTAGTGCTTTTTCCGCTTTGTCGCCTAAAGAATTTCGTCAAACATATATGTATAGAATAGAATAGAAAACAAAAAAGCCATTCGCACACAGACGCTTTATTTTAGAAAATTTACACTTAGATGATGAGGTACGAACGTGGAACTCTTATATTAGATAATATTCCTGAAGAAGTATTAATAAATCGAGATGAACGATTAATACAATATCAGAATTGTCGTCAAGCAACTATTCAGGTAAGTGTAAAGATGAATAAGAGAAAATAAATTATTTAACATCTTTTTTCTCTCTACTAGGGATGGTGTTTTGATGGTGGAATAATTATTACGACGAGATTTGCTGAATCGTCGCAGGCATGTTAAGATTTCTTTCGACGATACAATTAATATTCAATATGTTTTTCATTTCTTCTTAGATTCACTATGTAAAAGTTCCGTTGGGGATAAGAAAACAATTAACATTTTTCGATGATCCAGTAAATATTGTAAAACTGTGTCCAAATTTTAAGTCACCCTTTGCTGATTCACTTGTATTTACGAAGGATGCTGGTATGTTGATGATTTTTGAAACTTTTTAAGGTTAAGGAAATTCAAAATTCAAGTAGGTTTTTTACCTATAGATTTCCTTACAGATTCTGATAGAGCTCAACGCGCTGATTCCGAATATGTACAATTCATGAGAAAAGGTTGATTTTTCATGTCGAAAACAGTGAAATAGTAAAAAGCTTTGAAATCATAAAAAATACACGTGTTTCGAAAAATCGCTTATGATCTTTGAACCATAAGTCTTCCTGATTCCATTTATTTTTATTCGTTATCTACGTGAAAAACTGATTTAGAAAATGTGTTTGCCGACAATAGAACATGAATTTTTAAGCATCATGAGTTCAAGCTAGATTAACGTTCGGAAAACCGACATGTTCTGTCTCCAAAACTTTCAGCACTTTGAATATTTTCCAGATATTTTCTCATGGTTAGAATCACTAAAATGTGCTTCAAAAAATTACGTATCCTTTTCCTGAAATTCCTTTCCAAGGAAGAGAAAAGTGAACCAGAATATGACCATGGGGGCTGCCCTTCGAAGAGTTTTCTTGAAGATATAAGCATCGTGGCAAATGTCCTGAAAAAAAGTGGCTTGTGTACAGACTGCGTTTTTTCTCGAAAACTATTTTTTTGCTACCGAGCTTCATAGCACCACATTACAACCTACTCCTTAAATTTCAGCCGATCGAGTTAAGAATTTTATTAGAGGTACTCAGGGTCATAGTGTAGAGGTATAGTTTTGGAATTTTATTTTAGATCTTTCTTTACCGAGTTATAGGGTTTCTAAAATTGAAAGTTTTTAGATATTTTTCCTATAACTCGGTAAAGAAAGGTCTAAAATAAAATTCCAAAACTGTATCTCTACACTATGACCTGGAGTACTTCTTGTAAAATTTTTAACTCGATTGGATGAAATTTAAGGGCGATCGTAAGATGATCTAAAACGAAAACTCGAGTTTTCTGCTAAACTGATAAACGGCAATAGTTAAAAACTTGAAACAAAAACAAAAAAGTGCTCCATTGAGTTTCTAATCAGTTCTGACAGTATGAAGCCTTAGTGAGTTTTAATTTTTATTTCACAGCATTTCTACGGAAAGCCCAAAATGAGGGAAGGAGTACACTTAAATCAGAGAACAGTCTAATGACAGAACACTTGACAATGTGTTATAACTTATTCAAGACACTAGATTATAACAATATAGAATAGTTTCTGTTCTCTTATAAGAACATGGAACTTTTTCTATTATGTGATACATTACAAAATTTGTAGTCCGAAGTGATTCAGATTAGTCGTGGTCCCAAACTATTTTATCAAAAATCGTCCGAAGCGGTCCTGGCCGTTTCTGGGTCTATACGAAGCCCTGGTGTTTAAAAATTATCGTCGTACAGTATCCGTTATAGTGTCGTACCTTCCACCCACTTCTAGTCAACGGCTTGCCTACGTATGTTCTATGGCAGAGATGTCACAGTATCACTTTTTTTGATCATTTTGTTTCGACTATAACTCCGAAACTAAAAGTCGCACAGAGTTCTAAGACGTTTTAAATTATAGAAAAAACTGTTTTCTACATTCTGAGATCTGATCAGACTCTATGAAACCTTTCTCAGAAAAACTATGGTCAAAATGCTGAGATCTACACGTTTGGTTTCAATTCTTAAAAAGCAGGTCTCATCATTTGGATTACATTTTTATGAGAATATGTTACCTAGAGTTTGAACAAATCTCAAAATGTAGAAAACAATTTTTCCTTTAATTTAAAACGTCTCCGAACTCTCTACGACTTTTAGTTTCGAAGTTATAGTCAAAACAAAATGAGCAAAAAAAGTAATCAAGTGTGACATTTCTGCCATAGGAGTTACATAAACAATCCGTTAACATCTCATTTTAATTGAAAATATTTGCTTTAAAAATTGGCACACTTAATAATATTTCTATGGTTAATTTCGAAGATTTTCTAGAAAAAGTTTTAACTTAAAAATCTTGAAAAACTTCTGACAAAGTTCACATTATTATAGGCAAAAAATTTCTTTTTTAATAGGAGGAAATGAATGTTGGCAAGTGTATCATCTTGATTTGAAAAATGGCAAACAGTCACTCCTTACGGACGATGTCAAATCTCAAAATAGTTCAGTTATTTGGAATAATGAGGGCACAAAGTATGTGTCAATTAATTGTTTGTTCAATAAAATCATATTTTTTGTTATATTATTTATTTTCTTCTTTTCTTCTAGAATTGCTTATTATTCTACGAAAAGAAATGGAAAAGATTATGATATTGTTATTCAAACTATTTCAACTTTAGAAAGTAAAATAGTTTTACAAACCGAAGGACAATGGTTTCCTATTAAATTTTCGCCAGATGATAAACAACTTTTAATTCAACAACGAATAACACTTGAAAGTGAACAGGAAATTTTTATATTAAATTTAGAAAATCAAATATTAAAACAAATTAATCAAAATAAAAATAAAAAAATTGCATATAATCAAACAATATTATTTGATAAAAGAAATGGAAAAAATGGACTCTTTCTAATTACAGATGAAGATAATGAATTTCGAAAATTAAAATATTATAATCTTGATAATGATACGTATACAAAAGATTATACGGACGATATCAATTGGGATGTAGTGTAGGTATCTGGGTTGTGAATGATCCTCTTTTTTTTCTCTTTAATCCATGACCTGTCCTCTTTTTCTGGGACTTTTCAGCAAAAACACCAGAATTCACGCTATTTTTAGATCTGAAAGTAGTTTCAGATAGATTTTTTTTATCGATGCCCTCATATGAAACAAAATTCAATCACTTGTGGTTACAGAAAAGCGTAGATGAAGTCCCTCTGAGACGATGGTTAAAGCAAGGTGCTAACGAATCAATATTCGTATGTACATTGTGTAAAACCGGCGAATTATCGGGTGTCCCAGGTAAAATGGCGCTTTTTTGTTTATGCGATAACTCCATCATTTTTTGCGTAATCTGCTCAAACGTTTTTTTAAACGATGCGATATTTAATTCTCTACAAAAACATGTGTCACCAATTTTCTCGGAGTAGAAATTCTTAGAGTTATAAACGAAAAGGTGAGGACGTGCAAAAGTGCCAACTTTCTAAGCCAAAGTTGCCGCACTTTCTTTGGCATTTTCGGCAAGTGAAACCACACTGACTGCTTTAGTTTATGTTTGTTTCTAGTGCTTTAAAGTACGCTCTTTCTAATGGTCTACAACGTTTGTTGTCCACTTAGCTGGCTCAAAAAGTCAAGATTTTTTGCAAGTACCAAAAAATTCGACTTTTTTTACAACCTGTGTCAAATAGAGTAGACATCCGGTGTGCCAAATTATCAAAAGCGATTTCATCGAGCAAGTGCGACTACAGGCCACAAAATGGAAAAAAATTATCGAAAAAAGATGAGTTTTGGCTGAGTTATGAGGATTTTCGTGGAAGAGATAAAAAGATGATTGCAAAATGGTGTTTTTCTGAGAAAACAGAAAAATCTCTTTTCGCCGATTCAAGCTTTGGAAAATTTTTGGAAGTGACTATCTGATAGAACTTCGAATGGCTGTCTCGGATTTTACACTCTGAGGAAGATTTTTGAGAAAAATCATTTTTTGCTTTAGAAAGTTGACACTTTTACACGTCCCCACTTCTTCTTTTATAACTCTAAGAATTTGTACTTCGAGAAAATTGGTGATACATGTTTTTGTAGAGAATTAAATGGCGCATCGTTTAAAAAAGGTTTGAGCAGATTGCACAAAAAATGATGGAATTACCGCAAAAACAAAAAACGGCCATTTTACCTGGGACGCCCGATAGATTGTGGGAACAAAGACTGGCAGTCGATCGTACTGTATATGAAGAAAGATAAACACCGTGGAAAAGTCAGAGAGTTGAAAGAAAATATCACATTCGTTAGCGATGCTACTTGAACAGTCAGATATGTTTTTGTGCTAAATTAGACTAACTCATTTTTGTTGTGTTTTTTCATAGCTGTTTTACTCGTGAAGCACGGAAAAAAATACTTAGGAAGTAGGATGAAATCTTTTAAGTCACTTTGACGTGTACTTAACATTGTCAGTACCGTTTTTCGGTCAAAAAAATACCTCCTCGTTTCCTCTGTTTTATCCAACGCTCCTAAAAGTTTTTTAACGTTCCTCTTTTTTTCCTCTTTTTTCTCAAAGGATCGTTGGGAAGCCAGGTAGGTACTTAAGGCGCCGATAATTCGAAGTTTTAGTGGAATTTACAAGAAAAATTCTAAATATTCATTGTCAGCTCAAAGCTACAGAAATAAGAAGAAATAAATTTAGTGCTTTTCTTGTAAATTCTATAACTTTGCAAAGAAAGGTCATGTAGAGGTAGGAGATGTCTCATTTTAATCAGAAATTTGCGGGCTACAATCATGCTTCATTAAAAGAAGGTTTTGCTTAGTTTGAAAAACTGCTTTTGTCAGCACAGGAAAGTAATAGTAAAAAAAAACGAAACATTAGTTCGTTGCGCACGAAATGACGAAAGAATGAAGATTCTATGTCTTGACCGAAAAAACTAGATAGATTTGCAAAATTCGGTAGCACCAACGGAGTAATTCAGTCTTATGTGTTTCCAGAATGGATATGTTATACGCGATTAGGCTCTAGATCACATGTATAAATCCATTTTTACATGAGAAATCTGAAAATCACATTTGTGAGATTGAAAATTGAAATGGTGAGGAGAAAAACGCAGTTTTGTCAAAGCTTAGGTTAGCAGTATTTTTCGTTTTTCTCCCGGAAAACTTGGTCAACATGAAAAAACAAGGTCAGATTCGTGATCACCAGATAAAACTGCATCTCGTGATGTGTGCTTTTAAGCAAAAAATAAATTCCACTAAAACTTCGAATTACTGGCGTCTTACAATAGTAGATAAGATATTATTCTTAAATATTTCTTCTTTTTTTTTTTTATTTGTAGAGAAATTGATTTATCTCATGATGGAAATACATTAGCAGTTGTAACAAATGAAAATGGATTATCAAAACTTTATCTCATCGATATTGAATTAGAAAAACGAAAATTAATTGAAAATATTCTTCCAATGGGTGTTTTATTTAAACTCAATTTTCATAAAGAAAATAATAATCAATTGGCATTTGTATTAAATACACCACAAATTCCTGGAGATTGTTTTGTATTAAACTTAGATGATTTATCTCTCATAAGGTGAATAAATGTTTTTTTTATCATTTCAATTTATTTTATAAAATAATTTATTTTCTAGATGGACAGAATCAGAAATAGGAAATTTAAATTCGGATAATTTCATTTCTCCAACATTAATTCATTATGATACGTTTGATAACAGGAAGATTCCAGCATTTTATTATTTACCAAAATCAAAAGATAAAAAAAAATATCCTGTTATCATTAATATACACGGTGGACCAGAAGCACAGGTAACTACTGTCCACTACAGATACACGTGACAATTTTCTCGAAGAACTTTTTTGATTTTGTGTCATTCAAAAACAAAGACTATCTTTCTGTAGGCGAAAAAAGTTTAAAAATCTTTTTTGCTATTGTCTGTCCAAAAATTCAGTAGACTAGGATATTTTTTCATTAACTCAGCATCAAATAATGATGGAGACTTGCGATTTTCACCATTGGATAGCCAAGACGTGAGGCTATCTTTCCACAAGCAGCAACGATTTTCGGAAAAAATGTCGAAGCCGGCTTTCCAGAGGCTCTTTGAAAAACTAGCTTTTACTTTCCGAAATTCAAATAGGAATTCATTGATTTTTTTCATAGACAGATAGTCCAAAGTGTCCTGTACAAAATGGGATCTCAGGAAAAGTTTCATTTTGCTCAGCCCGGAAACTCCGAAGGTTTTCCCGGAAGCAGTAAGACTCAGCGGTCCTTCAGTCCCTGACCTTTGAAAATACATGAAAACGTAGGTTATCGTTTATGCTGAATCTGGTAGCAATGCTAGTTTTCAAAACAAAATGCAAAGGCTGAGCGAAAACCTATACTAGGTGAAATAACCCATTTTGGACTATTTTCATCAAAAACTCATAACTCAGTCAAAATCCATCCAACCTACTTTAAAATCTCGAAAAATACTCTATTTTATGTCCTCGTCAAAATAAGCCTTTCTGACCTTTTCATCTGCTGTTATTTGAACGTGGTATCGGTTTTCCTAGGTCTGTTACACGTGGTATGAGATCACATGTGAGAAGTCTAAAAGTGAATCGATTGTTCTCTATCTCTTGACAATGTTAGTTTGTCCAGAAAAATTTAAAGAAGCTAATGAAAACTTTTGTTAGTTGAAATAGACCAATTTGGGTGTTCATACAAAACTGAAAAAATTCGTGACTTAATTAAAATTAGTTCAGAACACTTTAAAGTATACAGTCATATATTGACAAGTGCGAAAATAATCGATACGAGCTCACGTTTTTCAGAGAAACCTTGACAAAAACTCTAGTTATTGTCAATCAAAATGTTCTTCAAGAAATGTCGACATGATTTGCTTTCTATAGCATACAGTTCGATAAATATCGAAATGACTACTATTAGTTTCAAAATACAGTGGAGTCTCTCATTTATTGGAAACAGATGAAAGCATGCGATTTTTGCATATTGAAAAGAGAACACTTTTTGCTATGAAATGTTGAGAAAAGTTAAGCCAAATTATCGCCTGCATGTGGTCTACCTCATTGATCTTTCAAAGAATTAATTACAAGACCATGTCGATTCAATGGATTTCAAATCTAAATTTAGTCATTCGATAGCTCAGACAGTGGCCTACAAGTCTATGAAAGTCCCATCTCTCCAGTCAATGTTTATTTTTTTCACCGAGTTGATAAAACTTCAGAAGACTAGTTTTTGCCTATTGACCATGGAAGAATGAAAATGCGACAGAACCCGCGGTTTTTATCCAAAAGGGGTTAAACTTTGGAATTAAAGTAATTTTTATCTTCTATATCGTTTCTTGCACCGACAAATGCAAAAAAACAGGCGCAAACCGAAATAGGGTTTCTGGAGATCTCTTGAAAAATCACAGGTCGATTTTTTTCACAAAACCAAAGTTTCAGCATTCTATAAACGTAAATCATGTACAACTGGATTTTATCAACTCGGTGAAAAAAATAAACATTGTCACGTTGTTCAGAAAGGACAGTAGCCTGTATTCGATGTGTTTCTGAGATTTCCCCATTCAACGGGAGCCAGATAGCTTTCCCTTAGAAGATCCTATGTAGCTCCTGAACCATGTCAACTGAAGAGATGGGACTTTCATAGACTTGTAGGCCACTGTCTGAGCTATCGAATGACTAAATTTAGATTTGAAATCCATTGAATCGACATGGTCTTGTAATTAATTCTTTGAAAGATCAATGAGGTAGACCACATGCAGGCGATAATTTGGCTTAACTTTTCTCAGCATTTCATAGCAAAAAGTGTTCTCTTTTCAATGGTAAAAGTCGTATGCTTTCATCTGTTTCCAATAAAAAGTTATTCAATAAATGAGAGACTCCACTATGGTTTGAAACTGATAGTAGATTCTCAACTGTTTATAATCTAATAGGTTTTATGCACGTTTAACGCGAGTATTCAGTATTATCTGAATGAATTAAATGTAGCTATATTAACACCAAATGTTCGTGGCAGTACTGGCTATGGTAAAACATATGAATCATTAGACAATCAATATCTGAGAGAAAATTCTGTGAAAGATATTGGAGCTTTATTAACATGGGTGAGCAAAAACATTTCTAGTAAATACTTATCGTGTACTAATATTTTTTTCTTATTCTTACTGCTAGATAGACAATCAATCTGAATTAGATAGTAAAATGATCGTTGTTAATGGAGCCAGTTATGGAGGTAATATTTTCAAAATAAAGTTCTCAAATGCTATTGTAAAACAATCTCATTTTTTCGCTATAGGATATATGGTTTTAGCATCGATGATTCACTATGGTGCAAAATTAAAAGCAGGAATAGAAAAAGTTGGAATTAGCAACTATGTCACATTTCTCCAAAACACATCAGCAGTGAGTTAATTGCTTAAAATCATATTTTAATAATTAAACAAATGATAGAGTATACAGTCATTTGGGAAATGAAGATATATTTTTCGACGCCAAAAGGATTCAAACAAAAGAAGATATAGCGAACAGTTTTCCTGTAATTTGTACTGTCATATTCGCCCGTGTTTGAGCAATTTTTATATGAATAGATCTTTCGTGAATTTGTTCATGACAATAAGCAAATAACTTTGAAAGCTTTAGTTTTGTTCAGAAATGTTTGTGCTGTACGACTAACGAGGAGCTGATACTCTCCGATTTCGATGATCTTTTGCCGACAGATACTACATGATGTTCTAGTCTTAACCTACAAAGGATTTAGTTGTATAGCTCTTCTTTCAAAAGTTATGGATTTTTTAAGATTGGCCCGCAGAAATACATAAAAGTAACCAGTCAAAGCGATATGTTTGCATAGATATGTCTTGTCAAATGACACACTCGCAATTCTTTTTTTTATGAATGTTGACGATATACTCGTCCACATGTGTGCTGACCAGCCCAAATCCTTTTAAACATCTATTCATATAGAGAAAAGTGTTCTCTACAAAATGAAAGATTGCTGAGCTCTGTGCGATATCCCCATCAAAAGTCATAAGCATTTTTCTAAAAGTACCAAAAACTCTGTTTTTCTCCTTTTCTTTCATTCCTCTACATCAATTTTTGTCTTGTAGTATTGCGTAATTCCAAGATTTCTACACTATTTTGAGTGCTACAAATCTCAGGCTGGTCTTAAAATGTAGCCAATCCTTTTTCTAAGACACAATAGAACCCGATTTTTGATCTTCGTTTTTACCTCTCAGGAAAATAAAAGTTTCAGAGAAATGATTTTCCTGAGAGGTAAAAACGAAGATCAAAAATCGGGTTCTATTGTGTCTTAGAAAAAAGTGGTGACTACATTTTAAGACCAACCTGAGATTTGTAGCACTCAAAATAGTGTAGAAATCTTGGAATTACGCAATACTACAAGACAAAAATTGATGTAGAGGAATGAAAGAAAAGGAGAAAAACAGAGTTTTTGGTACTTTTAGAAAAGTGCTTATGACTTTTGATGGGGATATCGCACAGAGCTCAGCAAGCTCTCATTTTGTAGAGAACACTTTTCTCTATATGAATAGGTGTTTAAAAAGATTTTGGCTGGTCAGCCAGCACACATGTGGACGAGTTTTGGAAAGTAAACAATGATGAATTAGAATCTTCAGTAAAAATTCATAACTTTTGAAAGAAGAGCTATACAACCAAATCCTTTGGAATTTACAGCTAAGACATCATGAAGTATCTATCGGCAAAAGATTATCGAAATCGGAGGGTATCAGGTAGGGGCCTTCCCTCGAAAGCTGTTTACAGAAGTTTTTTTTCTGTTTACAGAATATCTAAATTCATTTTTGTCTTCGATCTATCTATCATAGTTAACAAGAAAAGAAAAGCATTTTAATTTTTTGTTTTCTGCACCACTTTACTATTGATAAAATTAGTCAATATCAGAAAAGTTTCATATCTTTTCAGTATCGTCAAGATATTCGTCGACAAGAATATGGTGATGAACGAGATCCGAAAATGTATGAATTTCTTCAACGTATATCACCGTCAACAAATGTGCATAAAATTGATAAACCAATGTTAATTGCTCAAGGTAAATTTTTTGTTCTAAAAAAGAAAAACTTAACAAGAAAATTATTATTCGAACTATTTTCATTTCAAGGTATGAATGATCCTCGTGTACCAATGAGTCAATCGGATCATATAGTCGAATGTATTCGACGTAATGGTGTGGATGTTCAATATTTAATTGGAAAAAATGAAGGACATGGTTTTAATAAAAAATCAAACATCATAGATTTGTTTCAAATTGAAATTGCATTTGTTAAAAAAATATTTGATTTATAATTAGTATTTTCTGATGAAAAGATGTTTTCCATAAGTGTCATAATAGAACGATCACAGTCATAATTTGATGTGCAAGGTTCATAATCTAATGTAAATCTAAACTGTTTCTTGATACCATCTGAAGATCTCCAGAAATTTATAAAAATTCCTAAATTCAAGACAATACTCGAGCCTTAATTCGGTCAGTGTTTGCAGCTAGATTAACTAAAAATATATTGTGAACTTTTTCCACGGAAAAAGCGCCCAATGTAGCGCGCTCCAAATTCAAACATAAAGCACTATTTTATTTTTAACTTTAAGATACACCATTCGATGTAGTTTTTCACGCTGACCACGAATATTTTACTTTCAGTCCGCCTAGTGCACATTTTCGACGAAAACAATTCAAGGTATTAGAGACCATTTTTTTGAACAATGACGGCTTTTCAAAAATCAGGCTACATCTCGGTTCCAGGTGATTCTGGAACCTTTCAAAAGTGTTTTTCGAAGTCAGCGTGAAAAACTGCATACAGAGAAGTGTATTTCAAGATTATAATCTTAAAAGAGAGAATTTATTAAAAGTTCATGTCTGCTTATCATATCGTCTTAGTGTTGGTTTAATCGCTTCTTTCCACTTCTAAGCATTATTCTCATTGATTCGCTTTGTACTATCAAAAATAAAGATTATTTAGCTACGCTTGAGAGATTACATTAATACGGACGTTTCACATATGCATCGTTTTTCTTCCTTCACAGTTTTGTTTGTTGTGGTGAGTAGTAAACCTAACAACAAATGTTGTGGATCTGCAAACACATCTGTTTCTGTCTTGCGTTTGACCGCTGTTAACATCATAAAGACACTGAACATAAAATTGAATGGGGAGAACTGGTATGTACATAAAACTTAACTCGTCAATTTTAAGCAGTTGAAAAAATCCTTACACTTCTGATCTATTCGCAATTTCAACAGTATAAATATTCTCGATACACCTTAATTTGACTTAACCTTTGATAACAGTCTTTTATGAATTGGACAGTCAAAATTGATGCTGTTTGTCGATATATTTAAAATATAGCTTTTAAATTTCTGAGAAATGATGAGTAAAATCTATTGCTGAACTTCCATTATCTATCTTCAAACTTATGCTCATGGGAAGAAAAAAATCGGAAACTTCGCTCAATTTTTGATTTTCTATATTTTGTGTGCTAATAACTGCCTCTCACTAGCTGATATGATTTTTCTTGTTTGCTCAGTCGTTGAATCAAAGACAGGATGGTCCAGGTCAGGTCCAGGTCATATGTCCAGACCTGACCTAGCAAAAGCGGACTTGGACCTGCAAGACGTGAACCTGGTCTTTGACTTGAACCTCTACCTGTGACCTGTCGGCATAAGCAACATATCAACCATTGACTATATCTAGCAGTGTGAAATTGAATTATTTCATACACATTTTCTCTCCTGTTGGAAATTCTGAGAACAATATGAAAAATCGTAATAACCTTATTACCTAAAGACATTTTTGTTCAAAATATCTACCACGTGCTTCTCACATCTTCTAAGAACTGTTCTTAAACTCTAGTACAGGATATTGTAAATTCGCACTATCAGAACTTTTTCATGCAACGGACCCAGCGTCCAGGTCACAAGTTCAGATCATAGGTCCAGGTTCAGGTCAGGTCCAAGTCTAGGCTATTTTTTTCAAGTGCAGGTCCACAGGTCCAGGTTCAACTTTATAGGTCAGGACCAGACCCGAGGCAAAATTGTTCATTAGATCGAATAACAATAAGCCACCTTACAGTTAAACTTTCTAGTTTATCCTACAAGTTTTGACCTTGACCCACGCAGGCCACAGGTCAAGGTCTAGGTATCCTGTCTCTGCGTTGAATACACTGGCATTAATTTTGTGTGATGATCGATTTTGGATACCAAAAGCTGTAAAGTCTTTGAAAAATCATTTCCAACAAACGAAAATAAGATGTCTGTATCATGCAAGTCTAAACTAAATCCGTTCAACTCTCTCTTCTGTTTTCTCGATTATCCACTTTTTACTTTTAGCAACAAGCGAAGGACATCAAGTTATAGCATTAGGAGTTTTAGTTGATGTTTTACTATTAATATTTTACGGTCTAACGATAGCCAATATTGTAAGAAAGAAACGTACTAAAGAGAATACGGAAAAGTTAGTCATCATTGTTTAACACGAACTTTGCACAACTGTCATTGGCATGTATCCATTCCTGGATCTGATATCAAGCTTGATAGTGTTTCATCAGTGATTCAAGGTCATTTTAAAAAAACATGCAGCACTCCATCGGTCATAATCACAGCATTAATGTTCCCAACTGTTGCCACTGCACTGATTATCAAACCATTTCTATTGAAACCGATTTACAATGACATTGTCAATAAATATGAAACTGATCAAACGCTCATGTATAAACCGAATAACATCTGTTCCGTAATTAATTTTCAAGATTTCAATATGTTAACATTTCCAGTTGCATGTGCTCCAATCATTTTATATACCATATTATCAAAACGAAATTCGTTAAAAAAAAGTGTATGCACGGGATATTTTGCTCCACCAGTGCCACTCGATTATTTTGCACGTATTAAATGAAAACTTGTAGCCGTCATTTTTGCTGTAACAGCAAATGAACTACTCGAAATTGTTTATCAAGTACTAACAGAAGATACGTCTGATGGAGAAGGTTGACAATAGTTAATTTTGTTTTTGCACAGTTCATTCTAGTGAGAAATCCGTACGAAATTGTGCGAGATTCACGTTAACAGGTTCCTATGTATTAATGAAGACATAATTGTAGCCCGCAAGTTTCTGATTAGAATGAAACATCTCTCGGCTCTACACGATCTTTCTTGGCAAAGTTCTAGAATTTACAAGAAAAGCACTATATGTTCATTGTCAGCAGGAGGATGCCTCATTTTAATCAGAAATTTGCGAACTACAATTATGTCTCATTAAGAAAGGTTTTAGTTATTTTTTAGTTCCTGAAAAACTGGTTTTCTAGAAAATCGGGTCTTCAAGAGTCATGGGAAAAAATCCTTTTAGGCTTTTTACTAGTTCGATAGCCCCTATCGGTCGACATATGAACGAACGAAATCGGAAGGTATCACTTAGATGGGCTTCCTCGTAAGTGTATCAAGAAAACAAACAGAAGATTGAGAGTTGTGCGAGATACTCATGAGATGTTTTATCTTCTCTGGACTTCTAAAAAGAATGAAATTTTTTTTGCGAAAATCGCAAAGGGCTTTTCTGAATTTTAGTGGAAGTTGCACAACAGTCTCGATCATTCATTAAAGAACCTATCTTAGCTGAAGAGTATGACTTGCGTTCTAGGTGTGATTGTTAAGTATTTAATTCGAATACTTCAAGTGTTGGTGATCGGATTTCGTTATTATCCGATATTGGCCGTTATTCATATGAATACAATTGTAGCTCTATTTTTGGCCACCATGTATAGTTGGTTAGATTTTTCTGCTAGTGTTGTTGATCAAAGTTTATGTAGTAATTATTATCCAACCGAAAATCTGTACGAAGAAACACAAGGTTCAAGTACGAACGATATTAAATCGTTATTAGCATACTATGGCACGGGCTCAAATTTGATTGTCATTGATGCTTGCATAGATATACCGAGATTTATTTGTTTAGCCCACATATCGATTAAATTACCAGAGTTGTTTATCAAAAAGATACGCACACAAATGAATCGAAAACAGCAACCAATATCAACATCTCTATGATTATCAAGAGAAGGAAGACAATTATTATCCTATATGAAACATTCTATTGAAGCAAGATATGTCAGATATTTATTCTTACCAGTTGAGAAAAGACCAGAAAGTAAAACATTATTCTCTCGAATTATTCCAAAAATCGTTTACACGATTCGAGAGGATTTTCATTATTCATCACGTGTATTATCTGCTTATGCTTCAGCACTCATGCTGATATTTTTCATGACAACTGGTTTTTGCATAACAGTAAGTCTTTAAAGTATGAAAAATTAAACTATAGCATTTTAGAATCTCTGACGTTTGGCCAAAAGACGATTCTCCAAAAGACAATTCGTCATGGTGAAATGTCATCCGACGTTTCGCCAATTGGCGAAAGCATACAGATTCTTGGCGAAACGGCACATGACATTTCGCCATGGCGAATCGTCTTTCGGCGAAACAATTTTTTACTATCTTTTGTGTACGCAAAATTTTGGGGAATCTCTGATGTTTCATATGTATTATCATAATTTAAATGATCATACTTGTCGAGTTAGGGGTTAAGAATGAGTGAGATACCTAAGTTAAGTTAAGGACTGATAAAAATTGTGGTTGTACGGTGTTATAACCATTTATTGGCGAAACGTCATATGACATTTCGCCATGGCGAATTGTCTTTTGGTGAAATGGTTTTTTACCGCATTTTACTTTCTTATTGTTCAGATCGTTCCAACATTAGCTTCTTTTCATCAAACGCTAACAACACTGTTTGATGCGCTTTTTGGCGAAAATAAATTTCCATTGCCTGACTTTGTGGCACCGTTTGTTATGTGTATTATGTTTGCTACAGTTGGCGTTTTGATACAATTAACATTATAATTAGCTGCTATAAGACGAAATTTATTTCAAGTCTATCGGGGCGATATTACTGAATTACCTCCTCGAGCGACACTGGGTGCTGTTAGTGTCTCAACCTCAAATTTCCATTTTGCTGGTTAGTCTTTCTCAAAGTTTTATTAACACATGTTTAGCACAAATTGTTTTTCTAGGGTATTTTATTGGTTATGTTGTATGGGGCTATTTATCACTGGCTTTTCTAGCCTTTCTCATCATTGTTCCAACTGATGCTTTCATCAGATTTGGTTCAGTTGAACTTATAGAAGTTATTTTGAAAAAAATTATCCCTGTGTTATTATTTATAGTGTTTAAAATGTATATAGATAAATTATTAGCTCAATATGCATTTTTACAACATTGGGGTGATGTATTGGCGTTGAATAATCGTCGATGGTCAATGATTTTTCTTTATTTTAAGGCTTTTCTTGATGCATTTCTCGGTTTTGTCTCTTGTATCATACGAATTGTTTACAGTGTTATTGCGGCGCTGATCTATATGTGTCGTTTAGATTATTCGCCATTAGGTAGAAAACTGGAGAGATTTGATAATGAATTAATCGTCAATGACATCTTGATCAATGAGAACTTTTTTTATCATTGATTTAAGTTGTGTGTATTTTGTGAGTGTTCCTAGTGGTTTCAGTGCTTATGTGGGATTTATCTATATGGAAAGAGAGGACGCACATCCCGTTATGCTATGTTTTGCAAGTTATTTATATTTGCAAGTAAAATTAAACCCAACAACATCAGATATAAAAAATGAGAACGATCATGCAACGAATGGAAAAATATCACCGTCTCCATTCATCGGTGATACCAAACCAATCATCAGAAAAACAAAACAATATAAATCACGTATTCTACAAAGATGGATGACGACTCTAACGTTAACATATAATCCACTATTAGTGTATACTAGAAAAAAATTCTTAATTCAAAAACAACAACAAAACGCTAGTGTTGAGAATAAATATAGAAAAGCTCGAGCGACCAAGTTTAATTTCCGAACATGATCTTAATCAAGTATTAAGAATCTAACAACACTCTCAATCGTCGGTATGATACTACCGTTGACTACTGATTAAGAGTATTTCTGTACGCACCGGAAAAAACTTCTTATGATTCGGATGCTCCTTTGAGGCATTACGGATGGATCCAGCCCTTTACTAAATGAAAGTTTTCTTTTTCTTATGAATGCATGAATATGTGCTGAAATGTGTAAAACTAATTATCTAATTGTCAAAAAATAATATATCATCACTACAAGTCAACCCTTCAAGAAATATTGACTCGATGTTGTCAAATGTCACCATCCGGCTGGAAAGGGTTAAGCAGTGCTATATTCTGTTTATAGGAGATTCTGAAACAAATTTTACAAAGCCTTTTCCGAAAGAGTTTCTAGAAAACCCTATTAAGAAAAATATACTTTTTGATTTTTTCAATCTTATATTCACATTTATCGGACAACATTAACCATGTCCTGAGATTTTGAACTCGTTCTGATGTTTTTTAGGCGAATAGTGAATTTTTTAACATTAGGTGAAAAAAATCTGAAAGCTCCAATTTTCGTAAAACTCGATTTTCGGTAGGTTTTTAAAATTTTCTAAAATTTTTCTAGCAAATATTGCCGCAAGACTCAGCACGGTCGAATTCCCATACTCCATCCGTCTTCAAGGCTACCAATAGTCACTGGATGCCGGTCCTGGGACTCGTACCAAATCGGATACAGCCCCAAACTGTCGGAAATCAATCACCGCGTTTTCTCGATTTTGAAGAGGACACCTGGCGCTATCAACTCATGAAAAAAAACAATACAATCCTATTGGAGGACTGATACACACGGCCTGATTTTCCCAAAAACTCTTCGAAAACCTGTTTCAGAAAGCTCATCTGAAAAACTTTTAATTATTAAAACATGTACCCAAGTCTCTTCTTTCGAATGGTGAAAACCAGAGCTCTCTAGTTCCTTTCTATCAAACATTATTCAAAAAACAGTCATATACCATTCTTTTTTGGGATGGACAATAGTGGTGATTAGCATAAAGTCGAATAATATTCTGTTAAGAAACAAAGTGTTGTCTCTTTTCTATAAGATATCATCAAATGTTGTGATTGGTAGATCATTCTAATCGTGTGAATATGACAATCTCTAGTCAGATATCATACAGCTACTTTGAGGTATATCCTTGAGTTATTCCAAATAGAAGATATGTGCGTGTTAGAAACATTGATCATCCCTTGTTTATATAATGATAAAGTAGGAACTAAAAGTAGGAAGTGCCTAAGCACTAAGTGTCTTATGAGAAGAGAACGTGTTTCCTTGTTTCAATCAATAGTCATTATAGCACGGAAGACGTAAACAAGGACTTTCTACTGTGTCTGATAAACCAAAGCAGAAACATACTACAGGAATCAGTGTTTTCTTCACTTCATTGCCTCTGTTTATTATAGCTTATCAAGATACACGTGTTGTTTTTAATCAATGTTATTTCAAGTGTAACTTTTGCTTACTTATTCAATCGTTGAACAATTTCGTAACGCTTTCGGGTTTCGTGTAGTAAAATCTAAACTATATCAAGTTCGAGATAAATTCCAAGAAGGTTGTATTCCAAGAAAGTTGTATATCCATAACTCAAAAGTTCGTAAAGCTAAGGACACGCGAACATCGTTTTGTGCTTTATCCTCAGATTCGTTTTTCCAAATATTTTTCGCCTAATCGCTCAGCTCAAAAGACAAAAATACAAACCATAGTTCATACGATTGTAAACTTTTCGTTTTCCTGCCTAAACTTCCGATCGTATACAGACAAACTCGAAAAACGAATTTCGAAAACTACTACGATTGCATATCTATACACTATGTCTACACCGAAATCCCGCGGGTCATCCATCAGTTGTACGTAATTAGCAGATTTTTCATTAGCATCAACACTTCCAAAGCAAATTCACTTGTAGGATTAGCGCAAGAGGTCATTTTTTTATGAATATCAATACGATAAAATGTCAATGTATCAATACGATGTCGCGTTTCTATTTTCTGACTTCTTTTTGAATTGACAGAGTGGTGGAGCTTTTTTTGTTAATATACCTGAGTTCGATCCAATTACTAGTGAACACTCATGGTTTGATTCTGATTTCAAACACTTGGTCGATTTTCGATAAATGATTTTTTTATAAATGAATCATTTATTTCCAAACCGGGATAACAGTCTGCGGGTTTAATCATATCATTGTATTGCCTCTCGGCTGAGAACGGAGCAAAGCGGGAAAGCATGCCACACACAATACGTATAAAAAAAGGTAAACTACTTGTCGAGTCCAGGGAGTTTTATTCCGCTGACGAGGTAAACATCGTCACCGTCTTCGTCTACCATGCCCGCAAGTTTCGCTCCCTCTTTTGCCATCTTCTCGTCTTCAGCTGTGACTCCGCCGAGGTTCTTCAGGAAGTCGTTCACTTCGCTTAGACGATTATTGATTCGTTCGTGGTACTGCTGTTTCCGCTCTAGAGCCATTTTGCCTACTTCTTCGGCGAGTGTGGTAGACGTCTGGAACAGCTGGGACTTGAGTTGATTACGCTGAGTATCAGTAGTTGCTGCCAGCATTTTCGACAGACCGGCGATTTGATTCATCAGATATTTGTCGGACATGTCAACGTACGTGCGTGCCATGATGAAGACCATGTATGTTGAACGGTGGATTGCGATCGTTTGCTCTTTCAGGAGGTCGAGAACTATATTCCTGTCCTCCACTGTGAGTTTCTTAGTATCGAGCTGAGAAGATGCCTGTTCAACGAACGGTATTAGCGTTTCCTTTACTGTGACCTGGACCAAAGCCTGAATTTGACCGAAGAAGTTCACGAGTTTACCCCACTGCTTCTGCAGTTCACCCAAGATCGCCAAGGCCTTGTTGAGCAGATCGATGATTTCTTCGTGATTGATGGTGGTGAAATCGAGACGAGCAATACGGACTGATAGCTCAGCCATTCTCTCTTGCGACTGCTTCAGGTCATCGTAAAACTTGTCGTAGCGTCCCTCGAGGTGAAGCAGACGCTCCTTTGCGATCATGGCTTTGAACTTTGCGTTTCCCGTTGGAGTGTGATCGTTTCCTACGCCCGACTGTGTAGTTTCAGCTCCTGATATGAGACCCGCGGCAGCAGCGGATGGCTGAGCACGCTGTGAAAGTGACTGAAACTTCTGCTTCACCTCCTCCAAAATAAACTCAGACATGTCGGGTTCGCCCGATTCGTCATTCGCAGGATCGGGGTTGTTCACCGGTTTATTATTGTTTATGAATTTTTTCGATTTTTTTCCCGGCATTTCAGTTGTGCTGGCTAAACAAGAAAAGTGGAAGTGTTTTTAATACGATACCAATAAATCCATATATAATATACTACCATCTCTTTAACTTTGCAGGTTATCCACGAAAGATTGAGGATTACATACAGAATCGCGTTCTGAATCCCTTGGCGAAAACCACAAGCCTCTATAACTGTTGTAAGGAAAGTTGTATTCGAGATAATCTGTTAGAACAAACTCGGCATGAATGTACCGGGTGTCCGGAAAGTCATTTAACAAAAAGAACATTGAATATCTCCGCTATGGCTCGAGCTGATTTTTTTATCAATGATAGAGGCATGTTCAAAGTTTATATCCATCTTGATATGTCAAGAGAGACCCTTTGTTAAGTATCACTATTGACCTCAGCAAAAAAAATTACTTTTCCCCGGGTAGCTCAAAAGTCACTTAACAAAAAGAAAATTATATATCTGCGCCGTTTCTCGTCCAAATTGGACAATTGTTTTTTTATTTGAAAGAATAGTGCATAAAGTTTTTTTGGCCTGTCACAAAGTTCGTAAATACTGCTCAAAGGTACTATCTTCGACTTCACTACAAAATGTAACAATTTTACTATGGTTAGTGAAGCACAAAAAAAATAGAAAGAATTTTGAAAAGTTTTTGACATAACCCATTTTGTAGAGCTTTTCTTACTGATCATCTTGGTAAAAAATAGTTATGTTTTCATCAACAAATGACGGTGCTGGAGACAAAATACGGAAAAACGCCAAATTATTCTCCAGCCACGGAGTAATATTCTTTCGTATTTCGATCCTAGTACCGTCATTTGTTGATAACAATAGAATAATTTTTTACCACAATGATCAGCAAAAAATACTCCACAAAATGGGTTATGTCAAAAACTCTTCGAAAATCTTACTATTTTTTTGTTCTTGACTACCCATAGTAAAATTGTTACATTTCGCAGTGAAGTCGAAGGTAGTACCTTTGGGCAGTGTTTATGAACTTTGTGGCAGGCCAAAAAAACTTTATGCACTATTCTTTCAAATAAAAAAACAATTGTCCAATTTGGACGAGAAACGGCGGAGATACATAATTTACTTTTTGTTAAATGACTTTCTGGACACTCGGTAGGTTCGACAGTAGAAACGAACTCCGTTCTAAGGCTTTTGTACCAAGAAGGCGTAACCAGAAAGATTGATCTTGGTCTAAAATGAGATCTATTGGCTTGTGCAAAGAGAAGTATTGTGCGTACTTGAGATCGATATCTGGATCCCTCCATATTCCGGTTCTCGAGATTATCTAAGCAAGTTAACCAATACCATAGAAATTTTCTGCAATCATCATTCTATAGCTGACACTGATCTTTCAATCTTTTCCTGGACCAACTGTCGGCCAGGAACACTTGACATAAGTCTGACATAGCCGACTTACTCACTTTTCTTCCGAATGGTAGGAAATGTACGGAACTACTATATACAACCTAATTTCCTACCTTTAGCTGTGCTCGTTGTCGATTGCTCCAGAGTATCCGCCGCTTGACCTGCCAGCTGGCTTCCTTCGCTAACGAGACTTTTCGCCTGCTCACTTGCATCGTTCGCTGGCTTGATATTGTCAAAGCTTTTCAATAGTACATCGAAGACCTTCTTGTAGTTTTTGAAATCGTCGATTACCGACGTCTTCACTCCTTTTCCCTTCTTCTTCTCTGCAGCTACGTTTTCCAGCAACGAAATGACGTTGGAAACTGCATCAGCAAAGATTTTCGTGTAACTCAAGATTTCTGGAATGACTGCTCTAGTGGAACCTCCGTTGTGTTCATGCTGTTCGCTACCGGAAGTACTGCCGTCTGACTGGTGCCCTCCTCCTCCAGCGGCTGCAAACGGTCCCATGAACTTGAATTTCAGTACCTGTGTGGCAACACTAAGGATGTTGCTGACGAACGTTTGAAAGACTGCGGTCCAGCCTGTGGGAATTTCGTCGAGTGCCTCATGATACTGACTCTGAGCTTCTCTCACTTTCAAGCGCATCTCGTCGAACTGTTTCTTGATGAACTCTTGCCTTTCGCGAAAGAGAACTTGGGTCTGCAGTGACACGTTTAACTCCACTTGTGCATCTCTAAGTCTGCCCTGTTGAATACCTCGCGTTTTTCCGCTCATGAGAACAACTTCGCCGATCAGACCCATGACCCTATGAAACTTTGAGTGCGATTCTACGGCCAGATCGGTGCACTCTTTACTGATTCGCTCAATGTTTTTGAGTGACTTCGGTAGCAGACGTGCAATGAGTAGTGGCGAAGCTTTAGCCGTTAGTTTCAACGAGGTTTTGATGTGAGCTGGAATCTGCCGCATGTACAACTGGATTTTATTCATATTCATGTGAGCACCTTCGAACGCGCGCCAGCCTTCTGCA